GTCGAGATATCACAATGCTTGGAGCTATAGAAACGGCTGACTGTCTTTGTGGCCGGGATGTTGTTGTTCAGAGTCTTGGATGGTTTTTTAGGATTTAATTCCCGAGTTTAATGTCACTTTAAGTTCATATTAGGAAAGCACCGATACCGGTTTTTCGGTATCAAGTACGAGTACCAATATTTTGCTATCGGCACATGCAGATACCGAGTACCTATACCGGTGCTTCTGCTGCCATGGAGCTGGCTCCATGTTGTATGGCCGACTCCATGCTGATTGGCAATCAGCATGGAGCCAGCTTCCCGGCCGATCAGAAAGCTGGAAGGCAAGTAACGACCCACCTCCTGGCTTCCTGATTGGCCGATCAGCAAAGAGCCAGCTTCCTGGCCAATTAGGAAGCCGGAAGGCGGGTAATGAACCACCTCCCAGCCTCCTAATTGGCCGGAAAGTCTGCGAGATGCTGTTTGGCCTGCTAGACGCTCATTGGCCAGGAAACCGGCTTCCCAGCCAATCAGCATGGAGACGTTTTCTCGGCCAATCAGGAAGCCCGGGAGGCAAGTAATTAGCCGGGAAGCCAGACCCATGCTGTTTAGCTGGCACGATGCCGATTGGCTGAGAAGTCGGCTCCACAGACAATCAGCATGGAGCCAGCTTCCTGGCCAATTAGGAAGCCAGTAAGGAACTGCCTCCCGGCTTCCTAATTGGCCGGGAAGTCCACTCTATGCTGTTTGGCCGGCTCGATGCCGAATGGCTGGGAAACCGGCTTCCCAGCCAAATCAGCATGGAGTCGGCTTCCTGATTGCACGGGAAGCCAGCTCCATGTTTCCCTACAGCACTGCCGGTCAGAGGAAATCTTCCGGTTCTGGTATCAGGGAAGGTATCGGAGCATTTGGGCGAGTACAAGTACTCACCCAAATACTCGGTGTCGGCACCGATACCAATATTAGTTTTGGTCGATCCCTGGTTCATACAATGATTGAATGCAGAGTTCTTCCCATGACATGTAATCCCGCACACGCGAGACCGACCACAGAAGCTGAACATTGGAAGCTTCATGAGCGACACGTGACCCGAGAAGTCCAGTGACCTCGGAACCAGAGAGAAGCGACGTCTTACCTGCTTGTTGGGGTGGGATTTGTCGTACCCGAGGACCAGGTTGGGGTCCGTGCTGTGGAGGAGAAGCTCGGTAGGCTTGAAGGGGACGGAGAACCCCCTGATGGCAACGCAGAAGTCCATGGTGATCCAGAGGTAGGACGCGTCCGTGTCCACAAAGATGTACTAGAAGAGAAGAGAGGCCGATCAGAACCCACGCTCAGCGATGATTACACTAGAATGGTTTCCGAGAAATATCAGCGAAAATCGGGACAATTTGCTGAAATTCACATAAATAACTGTAACCGTCATTTATAAACAATGCCGCGTGATCACGTGACTCGGGAGCCGCTATGTCAGGTGATGCGGGAACATGCGGCCACCCGCGGTGTCACTCATTATCGGCTCAGAGGACTCCTTCCCGGTGACGGGATCACTTTCTCGCTCCTGGTTATCACCTCCCCCCCTGTTCCCGAGAAGAGCTCGTCACCTCCGCCCGCTGCCGTGACGGAACTGTGAGCTGAGGCTATAAAAATAGACGGCGTGACCCAGGCGGGCGGCGCCGCTCACCCTCTTGTTGTCTGCGGGGCTGTGGAAGAACTGCTCCATGGTGGCCACGTCGCCGTTCCCATTGTTGTGGAGGAACTTCTCCGAGATCCTCTTGAAGCTTTTCCCGTAGTCGTAGGAGACGTAGACCTGGAAGGGAAGGCGGGAATTACTAAGACTGCGCTCATGTATCCAGGGGGGGGGTCACACAATTCACATGGAGGATGTCTAAGATATGTCACATGGGAGAGGGGGGATTCCCAGAATGCAGATGAGAGAGAGGGATACCTCCCTCTGACCGGCAGTGCCGCGAGGGAGCATGGAGACGGTTATAACCTGCCGCCCGGCTTCCTGATTGACAAGGAAGCCGGCTTCACTTGCTGCTAGGCAACCTAGCTTCCTGACCAGGAAGCCGGGTGGTGGGTTATAACTAGGGATGCACCGATACCGATACTTGTGCACCGATGCCTGGCCCGATACTTTGAGGTATCAGGAAGCCGGGCGGCGAGTCATTACAAGCTGCCCGGCTTCCTGATTGGCCCGGGAAGCCTGCTCTATGCTCCCTCGTCATTTGTTCCCGGCTTCCTGATTGGCCTGGGAAGCCAGCTCCATGCTACCTCATCACTTGTGACGAGAGAGCATGGAGCCGGCTTCCTGGCCAATCAGGAAGCCGGGAGGAGTGTAATGACTTGCTGCCCCGGCTTCCCGATTGGTCAGGAAGCTGGCTCCATGCTCCCTCGTGACACGGCGCCCAGCTTCCTGATTGGCCGGAAAGCCGGCTCCATGTTTTCTCATCACCTAGCGACGAGGGAGCATGGAGACGGCTTCCCTGCCAATCGGGTCATTACACGCCACCTGGCTTCCCTAATGGGACTACCGGTACTCTGTATTCGGTATCAGCGAGTACCGGAAAAAAAAGATATCGGTACTCGATACTGAAAAACCACCCTCGGTGACAACCCGACTCCCAGCTTTCCGATTGGCTGGGAGGCCAGTTTCACTCATTGCTAGGCAGCCTGACCAATCGGAAAGCCCAGCGCCACGTCATGACTTGCCGTCCAGCTTCTTGATTGGTCGGGAAGCCAGGCTGCCTCGCAGTGTGGAGAGAAGAGAAGCCGGCGCTCTTTCGCTAGAACATCGGCTTCGCCGGCCACCAGGAAGATGATAATCCGGGCCCGCGGATGCCGGTATTCGGTGTCGGCGAGCACCCCAAAAAAAAATATCGGTACCCGTACTTGATACTGAAAAATTGGTATCAGTGCATCCCCATCCAATAAGATCACTTCTCACTGCGCCGAATTTGAATGTGGCAAAAGAGCACATTGGTGGTAACCCAATCGGCTATAATCAGGGTACACACCCCCGAGGACCATAAGCTCCGCCCACAAGGGGAAAAAGACATAAAATAAGTGACTTACATTGCTGTTTTTCGTGGCCCCCGAGCCCAGGCCGCCCCGGGTCAGTCCCAGAATGACGTTGCTCTGCTCTCCGGCCCAGTGGACGACGATCTGATTGTGAGAGTCATTGAGGCTGACCTGAAAAAAAAAAAAGAGGGCAGAAGAGAAGAGGATGTTCACAGCGGTCACATGATACCTACAGTGCGCCCTGATAGGTGGAGGAGGGGCTGCCTGGCCCAGCAAGGACTCCTAATAAGGCGAGCCATGGATCACAATCTCAGCAAGAACCTGTCATCAAAGATCCTGCTTTCTAAATATCGGGTCTCCTCCCCTGCCAGGCAGGGCTGCGCTGTGGGACAGAGCTGTGTGAATCTCAGGACTGGGTGGACAGAAAAAACAATCCTTTCCCATGATTAAGAGAACTAAGATTCAATAAAAGGGGCAGGGGCCAGTGCAGCTAGGGAGGAAAGGGCTAGATGATGCTGGGTGTCCTCCAGCCATGAAATGAGGCGGCCTCTATCTGACTTGCTGCACACATTGTGAGAAGCTCCCAGTGTGCAGTGACATCAGAGGAAGGGAAGGACGGAGGTCAGATAGAAGACTGAAGGGGAGGGACGGAGGTCAGATATAAGGCTGAAGGGAAGGACTGGAGGTCAGATATGAGACTGAAGGGAAGGACGGAGGTCAGATATGAGACTGAAGGGAAGGACGGAGGTCAGATAGAAGACTGAAGGGAAGGACGGAGGTCAGATAGAAGACTGAAGGGGAGGACGGAGGTCAGCTTTAACCAATCAATTTCTCCTTTGCGGGGGCCACATTTATTATTGGTGACGGGGTCTCTAAGTTGGGGGCGGGGCTCCGGGTCGGCGGTATCTATGGACACAGCAGAGATAAGACGACAGTGACGGATGGATAACGGGAAGAACCGGTCCGATCACCCGCACTGTGTGCCGCCTCGGGGCGATCTCTCAGCACACATCCATCCTCCGGGCCCCCAGGAGACCTAAGAAACACACGGTGAAAACAATACAAGGGGAGGTTTGGGGGGGAGGGGGACACCTAATCTTTAGAAAGCATACACAGGAGCTTTGATTGATGGCAGGTTGTTGCAGAGATTGTGATCTGCAGTATCTATATAGAAAATGAACCTCGTGCAAATATGGAACAGCAAGGAAGTCACATATAAGATGTTCTGCAATCGGCCCCGGCAAAGGACGGCCTGCGGCCTGCACTGTGACCCCGGGGACACTGACACTGTCCACGAACAGAAGAATGACGCAACCCGCAGGTAGAAAACAGTGGCGCGGGACGGGGACCCCGGAGACATCCCTGCGCTGATAATTAAAGGACATGTCCCGCCAGATGAGCGCTGCGCGGCATGACCTGTAATTACAGTGATTTCATGTTCCTTTCCAGATTACAAAGACATTAAAGGAGCAATGACGGGATCCATGCAAAGCCCCGCCCCCCTGGTCCAACTCATCAATCGGATCGTCACATTTCATGGGGGATCTCTCACTGTGTATGGGAGGGGGGGATTCTGATTTACAGCACTGTGTATGGGAGGGGGGGACACTGATTTACAGCACTGTGTATGGGAGGGGGATACTGATACACAGCACTGTGTATGGGAGGAGGATACTGATATACAGCACTGTGTATGGGAGGAGGATACTGATATACAGCACTGTGTATGGGAGGAGGATACTGATATACAGCACTGTGTATGGGAGGAGGATACTGATATACAGCACTGTGTATGGGAGGAGGATACTGATATACAGCACTGTGTATGGGAGGAGGATACTGATATACAGCACTGTGTATGGGAGGAGGATACTGATATACAGCACTGTGTATGGGAGGAGGATACTGATATACAGCACTGTGTATGGGAGGAGGATACTGATATACAGCACTGTGTATGGGAGGAGGATACTGATATACAGCACTGTGTATGGGAGGAGGATACTGATATACAGCACTGTGTATGGGAGGAGGATACTGATATACAGCACTGTGTATGGGAGGAGGATACTGATATACAGCACTGTGTATGGGAGGAGGATACTGATATACAGCACTGTGTATGGGAGGAGGATACTGATATACAGCACTGTGTATGGGAGGAGGATACTGATATACAGCACTGTGTATGGGAGGAGGATACTGATATACAGCACTGTGTATGGGAGGAGGATACTGATATACAGCACTGTGTATGGGAGGAGGATACTGATATACAGCACTGTGTATGGGAGGAGGATACTGATATACAGCACTGTGTATGGGAGGAGGATACTGATATACAGCACTGTGTATGGGAGGAGGATACTGATATACAGCACTGTGTATGGGAGGAGGATACTGATATACAGCACTGTGTATGGGAGGAGGATACTGATATACAGCACTGTGTATGGGAGGAGGATACTGATATACAGCACTGTGTATGGGAGGAGGATACTGATATACAGCACTGTGTATGGGAGGAGGATACTGATATACAGCACTGTGTATGGGAGGAGGATACTGATATACAGCACTGTGTATGGGAGGAGGATACTGATATACAGCACTGTGTATGGGAGGAGGATACTGATATACAGCACTGTGTATGGGAGGAGGATACTGATATACAGCACTGTGTATGGGAGGAGGATACTGATATACAGCACTGTGTATGGGAGGAGGATACTGATATACAGCACTGTGTATGGGAGGAGGATACTGATATACAGCACTGTGTATGGGAGGAGGATACTGATATACAGCACTGTGTATGGGAGGAGGATACTGATATACAGCACTGTGTATGGGAGGAGGATACTGATATACAGCACTGTGTATGGGAGGAGGATACTGATATACAGCACTGTGTATGGGAGGAGGATACTGATATACAGCACTGTGTATGGGAGGAGGATACTGATATACAGCACTGTGTATGGGAGGAGGATACTGATATACAGCACTGTGTATGGGAGGGGGACACTGATTTACAGCACTGTGCACACAGACAGGGGGCTCCTACCTGTCCGTACACTCGCAATGGGGGGCCCGCTCCGGGCTCCGCTCTCCCCCCCTCACCGAGCACCGACAGCATCAGCAACAGTAGACCGATCACCGCCATCTTCCCAGGGCACGTGACCATCACCGGCACCCCGCCCCCAGCGGACACATTGCCTCGCCCCCTTCGTGCAGAGCTCCGCCCCTATTGTGGTGTTTTAGAAAGTCAGCCCGCCTCTTTCCGGCCCCTTTCATATTTAGCCCGCCTCCTTCCTGCCCACTCTTAGACGCCCCGCCTTTAGAGGAGGAGCCGGCCGCCTGTAGTTATATAGGAGTTTATTATAACGGAGCGGTGGAAATATCACAGAGACAGAGAACCGAGTACGGGGGATAAATGGAGTGTGTCCTCTATACAGTGGGGGATAGATGGAGTGTGTCCTCTATACAGGGGGGGATAGATGGAGTGTGTCTTCTATACAGGGAGATAGACGGAGTGTGTCCTCTATACAGGGTGAGATAGATGGAGTCTGTCCTCTATAAAGGGGGGCATAGATGGAGTGTGTCCTTTATATAGGTGAGATATAGCTGGAGTGTGTCATCTATAAAGGGGGTGATAGATGGAGTGTGTCCTCTATACAGAGGGAGATAGATGGAGTATGTCCTCTATACAGGGGGAGATAGATGCAGTGTGTCCTCTATACAGGGGGGTATGGATGGGGGGTGCCCTCTATCCAG